GGGGGGGGGGGGCACCTCCTGGGTTCTCAGGCCTGCCAGGCCCCAGTGATGCTGCTGGTTCTGGGTGACTGAGCAGAAAACCAACCGGGCAGGGACCAGGGCGGGGACCAGGCCGGGGTCAGGAATTCAGGGCGGTGACGATGGGGACGGCAGGTCAGGGTGGGATGCCGGCCTTGTCAACGCCCCCAGGAGAGGGGTCGTGGTTGTGCCCCCTGTAGACGGCACAGTGAGAGCTTAGATTAGAGCACGGGTGCACGCGTGTACGTGTGAGTGCGGACGTAGTCCACATGCAGGGACACGTGTGGTCAGCTCTCTGTGGTCCACCAGGTGGCGTGGGCCCGTTCGCTTTAACTAGTCCTTTACATTCCTTTTATCAGGCTTTGGGTTAAAAGAACTTGCCAAGGCATTATCCAGAGGAAGTCCTAAAGGAGAAAGGAAAGTTCCGGTACCTGCGGCGGTCTGAATGCCTGTGTTCCCCCAAATCCCTGTGTTGAAACCTGCCCCCCGCCCCCGTGATGGAGCAGGAGCGGGGGCCTCTGTGAGGACGGCAGGTCCCCTACGTGAGGACACAGGGAGGCGGCCATCTGCAGGCCGGACCCCGCTGGCACCCCGATCTGGGACTTCCAGCCCCCAGGACTGAGAGCAGTACACGTCTGCTGCTGGTGAGCCACCCAGCCCACGGAACTTGCTAGAGCAGCGTGAGCGCGGGGACAGGCTGACCGCGGGAAGGGCGGCGGGCCCTGCGTGTGCTCAGCTGGTCTGCGGGAACCACTGGCACCACAGGACCGCGCCGCCAGCCCACGCCCGCTGCCACAGGGGCACGGAAAGGGGGCGGGGGGCTTTCTGCTCCTGTGCATCCTCTGGTTTTCAAAAACGGAACCATTCTATATAGATGTTAAGTACACCTTCCTCTCCCCTCTCAAAATAGCTCTAGAAATCTTCCCGTGTCACCTGGTCTGGCTCTGATTAATTATCGTTTTGTTTCTTAATACTTGTTTCTTTACTTTTTGAAGTTTATTTATTTAAGTAATCTCTACACCCCACGTGGGGCTCGAACTCACGACCCCAAGATGGAGAGCCGCACGCTCTTCTGACTGAGCCAGCCAGGCGTCCCTGTGATTCTTTTAAGTGGCTGCGTATATCAGCTTATGGACTGGCCATAATTTACTCAGACTTTCTTTCACCTGCTGACTGGGGTCACATAATATGTAGGATTTTTCCTTTTTCTTTTTGAAATTGCAAACAGTGCCACAGTAAAGACACATTTGCAGATTTTAAGTACGGCGGCGCTTTTGGTTAATGGGCAAGGGTCCCAGCGCGGCTGAAGGGTGCATATTCTATCTCGGAAGAGATACGGTT